ATTATCTGGTTAAAGAATGAGTGAATTATAGAGTGTATCATTTGCTTTTATTCTGCGCCTTGAATGCCACTAGTTTCTCTGTGAAATATAAAAGATCTTACAGGAAGAAAGCAGAAAAAGGTGTCTATCTCTGTGATTTGAACTTCTGATGTGAAATATGAAAATAGATCTTGTTGGTTGAGGCCTCTGAAGTCATTTAAATTTAAATAAATGGGGAAATCATTGTGAAATCTTAGGTCCTTTAATGTTTTAGGATCTAAAAGACAATAAAGCATCCATTTAGATACTTTATTTTTAGCTAAGATGATGTGCTGTTTCCCCCTCCCTCCCCTTTTTTTTACAAATGTAAGATCTTTTTATTTTTCACTTACTCTGAATTAAACTGAACATAAAAGCTGTATTTTATCATTTATATTGACAAAACCTAAATAGGTGAAGTTCAGGAGTTCAAGAGATTAATTCAACTTTTTATGGAAACATTTGCAATAAATCCAAAGTTAATGAACAGTCTGACACAATATATTTAAAGTTTATAGCTTCTTGAATTTAATATCCAAAATACCCTTCAAACATGTACATAAATGCAGTGAACCAAAAATAAAGGACATCAGAGGACAGACCCAATCTCCTTGGTATATGTTAACTGTATTATATCTGGTTAGGTATAGAATGTGTACAGACCAGTGAACACTGTTTTATAGTGTGCTTGTAGCATCATCATAGTTGACAGAAATAAGAATTTATTCTTCCATAAATATAGCATTAAATGTATTCATTATAAGTACTAAACTGCAAAAAAACAATTATTTTGAGATAGAATTATTTGTTTTATGATTTCAAGTTTTTCTCTTTTCTTTTTTAAAAGATATATTCTACACAGATTGCTTGGGTTCAAACCATGGCTCTTCTACTTGTGAGCTAAGGTTTTAGGCAAGTCACTGTGTTTCATGGTTTCCTCAATTGTAAAAGAATTTCTAGAGTTACTGTTACAACTAAATATGTGTATATATGTACACACATATAGACATATGTACATGTACACACACACACATATATACACATAGTGCTTGGAACAGAGTAAGCACAACAGTAGTAATTTTTATTATTCTTACTTTGGTACAGGAAGGTAGTAGAGAAAACAAATAAGTGTTCACAATTCTACATTTATTACCCTCTGTTTTACTTTCACCAAACTTAAATCAGGTATCTTTCCTTCTTACAGGCAGCTGAGCTTTGCTTGCCCCCAAGCAATGAGCCATCACTAAAAAAGTGGAACATGTCCCCTGTATCAGGGTCTCCTGGGAATTGCTGACCACTGGGAGACACTTTTCCTGGTGGATCCCATTGATTATTTATCCTGCTTGTCCAGTTTCTTCTTAAAAGATTTTGCTTATTTCTGTCTGTCCATCCTTACCCTGAAAAAGAAACCACTTTTTCTGTTAGGTTTTAAGACCCTTGCAGATTTCAGAGATGAGAGCCCTGTTCCGAACAATGTCTCAACCTAAGTTCAGGTTTGCTTTTATTTGGAATATGTACATATATATACCCTTCACTAAGAACAGCATTTTCCATTGCTCCTTATATTGTATTACTGTTTTAATTTCTACTTTTGACATGTTTTATGTTAAAATTTCATGACTCTGGCCCAGCCAGAATGGCTCAGTGGTTGAGCATTGACCTATGATCCCAGAGATCACGGTCAGGGCACATGCCCGGGTTTCGGGCTCGATCCCCAGCAGGGGGCAGGCAGAAGGCAGCCAATCAGTGACTCTCTCACCATTGATGTTTCTCTCTCTCTCTCCCTCTGTTTTCCTCTCTTCTGAAATCAATAAAAATGTATTTTAAAAAATAATAATAAAAATTTCATGACCCAGGTATTTTTGAACAGGAAAATGAGTTCACCCCATCGTTCTACATACACAGCCATTATTTTTGAAACAAAGACATTTTCCTATTGGAAAAATAACAATATTAGATAAAGTTGCCAATGTTTCTGTTCTTCAAAATTCCAACTTTTAAATAACTAAGCAATGGATCTATTTCTAAATTTACCAGAGTGGTTGAGAATGTCATAACATCTAAAATCTGGAGAGCTTTTCTCTCTCTCTCTTTCACTTTATACAGTTACTGACATTTTACTACCCTTGCTTCCTTCCTTTTAATTGAAGAACTCTTCTATAATCTTTTGTTTTCTGGGAGGAGCTGATTATCAAAAACTCATCACTTCAAGGTCACAGTGATAAGATAGTTCAGACAGACATTTGAAAACTCTCAGAAAGGTATACTGATTGAAAACAATATATGCCGTTATTTTAGTTTATCTTTCAAATATTAATGAAAATTCATTTTGACATTCTAGTCATGCCCCATTTTCAGGTATTTCTCACACTTCATAAAGACATGCAGGACTAAAAGGTTGCTTCTGTCACAGTGTAGAACACCCTTTGACAAGTTCTTTTTCAAACAAAATTTGAACCCTCAAACTATAATAGGATAATCCGTCTTAAATATTATACTCACATTTAACCAGGAATAGTTACAATAACACTTTGTTTTCTAATATAGACAGCATTTAAGACTAAATGAGTTTAATTTGCAAAATATCTTACATAAGAATCTTAAAGGAAACTCATTTCTTTCAACCCCAAAACATGTTGAGGAAACTAAGGCATCAATTCTATTAAAAAAATGTCAATGAACAGCTGAAAAACTATTTATTTTAGTGGTGGTGCAATTTAACTAACGAAGAAACTAAAATTTAACAATGTGTGTAAGATAGTATAGTTTTGATAGTAGAAAACCAAAGTTTTCTAAAAAGCCAGACTATTCATGTATATGTAAGCAGAACTTAAAAATTGTCACATGAAAGATGATATTTGAAAGTTCAGTTTCTCAAAGAGCATCAATTTGCTGATTAACTATGTTCAGTTACAGTATTTTCCCTGTGACCCTATCAGACAACATCATGCTACATATTCACTAACTTTTGCTGTCACTGCTAAATTGTGAATTCATACCAAAATAGTTTCTTTTATTGCTAAAATTTATCATAAAATAACTGTGTTACCAGAACATTCACAAAGTGATGCTGTCAGCAGTATGATATTTTGGCACCATGGGAAAAGAAAGTGTTGGTGAAAAATAAAATAAAATAAGACTTGAAAATTGCTTCCAGGACTGTGTAAGTGGTACAAAATGTGGAGACAGCTCAGCTTGAAGCTCTTTTTAAGGGAGAAGCACAACATATGTCATCTTAAATACTAAGTTTTAACTCCACGTAGTAACTACTGTAGCTTCAGAAAATTAAGAAAAAATAGCACAACATATTTTGAAATCAATTTTCTTTGAAATGTCCAATCTTACCTTTCCTGCCTTTTTCCCCTCAGGTTTCCGCTGCTTTAGGATAAAATGGAGGCAAAGGAAACAAAGGAAAGAAAAACAAAAACCAAAAATCAGCTCCAATTTGTTACTGCAAGTATATCTTTTAAAAATACAAGGCATGTCACTATTCCCAGTGCAATAGTACACAGTTTTGTTCTTCCATTAAAACTGTTTTAACTTGCTCCATTCTTCAGTGGTTTCAGGGAAGGGATATAACATTGTAAATCTCATGCAACAATATGAAGAGCCATATAAAATCCTTGATCACCGTCAAAAAATTAACTTATATGTTTAGTCCACATAGGCATTGGCCAATAAAAGGCATCTTTCCAATTAGATATTTTCTTATTATACCATGTATTTTCCATCCATTTCTAAATGAACGGGCCTTTATCTCAAGCATGAACACATTTCTTAATAAAAACTAGGCTGGTTGGAAATTCATGAATTAGGAATAAACAAAAAACATTGACACCGCATTGGATATTATCTCAGGATGTTAGTTTCCATGGTTCCTAGGAGCACCTTAATTCAATTCTGTTAAACTAAATCCTTTATGAAGTCATCCTGGTAAAGCCATTTTGTTAATTTTTATTTATAAACTTCTTATTTCACCCCATCCAAACCCAGGAGACAGGTTAAATTAATTTTCAAGACTCCAGAATATTTAGGCCATTTATCTTTGGATTCATTCTCCTTTGTAGAGGGCAAATACACCATATGATGAAAGGATCAAATGTCTACTTTTCTAGCTAATGAAGCTCCCAAGCCCTTTCTCCCCCAATTTTTTAAAATGTGTTTTTATTGATTTCAGAGAGAGGGAGGGAGAGGGAGAGAGAGAGAAACATCAATGATGAGAGAGTCATTGATCAGCTGCCTCCTGCACGCCCCCTGCTGGGGATCGAGCCCACAACCTGGGCATGTGCCCTGACAGGGAATTGAACCACAATCTCCTGGATCCTAGGTCAGTGCTCAACCGCTGAGCCACCCTGGCCACACCTTTCTCCTCAAATTTTATCTCAGTTTCCTGTCATCTCTAGGGTTATGCAGTTTCTTTGAGAACTTTTGTGGATATAAAGAGTCCCAGAAAACTAGGGTGGAGGTAAAGTTGATTTTGAAATAGGGTAACTACAAAGAGAGATACAATTCATATAGTAAGAGGATGGATGCTCTCTTTTTTCTAGCCTATGGCATTTTCTCAAACCAAGAGGATATTTTTTTTTTCCTGTTATTTTAATATAACTTGGGTTTTCAAAATTGACATTGAAGCAAGTATACAGACAAGGGCAAAATTCTGTTATCCAAGAAAATCAAACTGTGCATTTTTTTCCTTCCGTATTGGGTACTTATTTTTAGCTTATGATATTCACATTGTCCTTATGTGATCAAATTCAGCCATCAATGGCTCAGTGTTAAAATTCTATTTGTCTGTGAAGGTATAGCCTGAGGGTAATGCCTTGAGTAATCTCTTTCAAGAAAGTGTCCTTGTATTTTAATCTATTTAAACAGTTGAGATTTATCTCTCTCTTTATTATGAATGATAATTCTTAAATAACAAGTTTAAAATGTCAAGTTTCCAAAAAAAAATCTCATTGACAAATGAAACCCACAAAACTTTTTCCTTATCTAAGAATATAGCATTTAAATAACACCATTCTTTACTTTGCAGAACTACAATGGGTCTTTGTATGTTTGCACCTTGAGCGGGTCCTATTGAATGATAACTAGGTGAGCATTAGAATAAAAAGAAAGTGCTGGAATATACTGCGGCAAGCATGTGAATAGGTTGGTAAATTGATACCAGATTTGATGGTAGGAACATTTTTTTTTTAAATCAATACTAGAAGGGAAGAAAATAGAAAACATGCTGAAAGGGAGCTTCTTTTTTCATAAAGACATGGGTTTTTATTCTTTATTTAAAAACTGGCCCCAAAATGACCAACATTAAATCAACAAAATCACTGTCCAAGATAAATTATATATAGTAAAGGATGGAGAAAAGTTAACCCATCTAACTGTTATGGGCTCAGAATTTTCCATAATATACATTTGTCAGAGCTTCACGTGTTCTTATTAATCTTCCGGTGTGAATATGCACATTTTTACTCTTCTGCCAGTGAATGAACATTTCTCCTATTATAACTAATTTTATAGACTGATAAAGCTGGTTGAATATAATTGATGAAAAAGAGGAGCAAGACATGGTGTACATGAGAAGTAATAAAACTTGTTAATGGCAAAAGTATGATCCAACTAGGGGAACATCCTAGATTTTTAGTCAGTTTTCTTCTACATCAAACAATACTAGTCAGCACAGTAGAAAATGATAGCAGATAAGTCACCACGGTGAAGGGTTATTCATGTATGCATTGAGGCTGTAGCTGTATTGGTACAGTTGAAAGGAACAAGGTCCAATGATTTTGGTATTTCTCAATATCTGTGTGCTCAGTGTCTCTTAGCGATGGCAACCAGATGTGTTTGCTTCGTAAGCTTTGGTCCTGTGCATTCAGACAGAACACGCCAGGTACATAGAGTGAGGTCACTGCAAGAAGGTTTCTATAACCCAAAAGAGACTGCTTACCTGCAGTCTCTCTGGGAATTCCTAACTCCTTTTTTATTCCCCCATCTTCAGGCTTAACACTTCTGTTTTCCTTTTCTCACCTGTGTAAAGTATAGCTGTTATCTTTATAACGGCTTAGTGTAGTATATTCCTGTGAATTGCTGCTTCCTACAGAGTAGTTGTCCTCATGCACACAACTGTTAGGAATTTCTGATCACTAGATTAATAATAGAGAAAAGGGAGCAAAACTAGGGTCAGAAGCCAAGTAGACCATGTCAGAACATATAGGTAAGAAAGAGGAGGAAACTCACTAGAAGGCAAAATATTGGAGCTCTACCCTGACTGGCATGGTCAAAATAATAATATTTACCACTGTGAACACATAGTAGATCCTGAATAAATATTTGTCTAATAGATGGATAAAACTAGTGGGGGGAAAAAGTTTTTTATCCTTGTGTGTCTGTGAGCCTATGTGTGCATGTGTGTTTATAACATAAAGTAGAAGCCTGTGAAGTCAAGTTTCTAATACTATTCCAACGAAGCATACCTCCCTGCCCTAAGTCTGCACTTCAAATATATCAAAACTTTAAGTGTAATTCATTTTTACTTGGCTTAAATCTCCATATAACTACCATGGCCTGGTTTATTTTTTAGTATACTGGAAAAAATGAAGAGGCTTCTACCAAGAATGAAATGTGGAGGGGTCTGTAAGGGGAGCTCTCATGCTTACCTCCATTGAGAAACCCTGTGGGAAGAACTCTTTCTTTATAACAGCCTTCCTAACTTCCTCTTCCCTTCTATAAAAGAATTTCCTCTTCTTTGTTCTAGCAAACTTACACTTGACCTACCGTGGCTGCATCTTCCTGATTACAATTTTCTCATTTTCCCAAATAAACCTTTTTTTTTTTTAGAGGAATACCAGCTGACTTTTTATTTAAGGTGAGCAACTGACATATGTGACATTATATTTCAGAACTTTATTCAGTTATCAACTTAGAGTGTTGTTGGCTTTAAAGGAAAGACATTGTTGAATCTAATAATAATAGTAAGCCTAAATGTCCTTCTCAAAATGTACTCTCCATTTTCTCTCTAAAATGTGACTCACTATTTCAAAATAATACATTTATGAGTATGTATCTAAGTGTTGTTATTGTTTATTGTGTTTTTTTCTAAATTTAAAACTGGTATAAAAATTATTTAGTGTTGATATACAGCAGTAAAGAGAACATGAAATTTGAAATCAGAAGATATAGGTTTCAGTCTTGGGTCCATAAGCAGCTGTATCATCTCATTCAAGCAAATTTTAGAAAGCTCTGTCTCCATTCTACACTAACTTCAGGTTATTAGCTACATTTAATGATGATAATAAGGGTGATACTGATTGTGACAATGACAGAAACACTATATTGGAAGTATCACTGCTACCGTCAACTTTCATTTAGTCAGTATGAAGCATTTTCACACGTTTTACAAGTATCATCTCATTTAATTCTTATAGTGACACTTTGATGCTGAAAAGTTATCATTCTCATTTTACAAAAAGGAAAATGTGTATTCAAGAGGTGAAAAAACTTAGTCACCATATTTGTAAGGTCTAGAGCTGAGGTTTAAATCCAACTTTTCTGGATTCTAAAGCTGATGTTCTAGACTATAAGCTCACGATAGCAGGCATTCTGTCATTTTGGATTTGGGAATACTGCTACATCCTCAATGCTCAAAAAAGTGCCTGGTACAAAGTAGATCTGCAATAAATATTTATAGGCTGAATCAAATAACAAGATATTCCTCTATTCTTTAATTATGTGATTATAGATAATTAGATCCAGAGTATAATAATTAACTATGATTTGTCAAAAGCACAAATTCTGGAGCTATATTGCCTGGATTCAACTGTTGTCTCTAACATTTATCACGTATGTGACACCAGGCATGTTTCCTCTTGTCGTTTTGTCTTGTTTCATCATCTGTAGAATAGAGAAATAACAGTTCCTACTTCGAAGTATTTAAAACAAAGTTTAAACGAGTAAATTAAGTGCTTCAAATAGTAGCTGCCATTTTAATGGTAATTTATTTTAACACCTTTATTGATATATAATTATTATACCACACAACTTATTCATTTAAAGTGTAAATTCAAGGTTTCTTAGTGTATCACAGATATCTGTAAACCATCATCATAGTCATTTTTATTTCCTCAAAAAGAAGAAACCTCACACATTTTAGCTATCACTTTCCTATCTTCCCATTTCACGCAAGCTTTAAACAACCACTAATCTATTTTCTGTCCCTTCAAATTTCTCTGTTCTGGACATATGAATAAAATCATAATATATGTTCTTTTGTGGCTGGACTCTTTCACTTATCATAATGATTTTCAATTTAATTCATGTTGCATAATGTTTCAGTAAGCCATTCTTTTTTATGGCCCAATAATTTTCCATTTTATGAATATACC